CGAACTGTATACTGAACGGCAGACAGCGCTAAGTACACTTCCTATGTAGGTGTTGACTGGACTTCCAGTTCCTAATATCCGAATGCCCTTAGTTACCAGTGCGCAACACAAGATAACGCCAGATCAGGGTCGTGCCAAAGACCGCCTGCTCTTATCCACAACTGATTACCTTTGGAGAGGCCCACATCAACCTGCCCTTACGAGAGAAAATATAAGCGGGGTATCTTGTCAGAAACGCTGAAACGAGCGCGGCAGGTAGCGGGGACATTGTCTGGCTCAATATGACGCGCGTTATCTGGACGTCGGATACAGTTCTTAGATACCGCCCCTATCAAAGCCACTGGGAGAGTTCAGGACTTGCGATTCTCGCAGGACGCAAAATAAAGTGGGTTATTTGGGCTGCGTTGGAGTAACTGCAGACATCCCGCGCAAGAAGGATAAAGGTACGTTGTAAATTTTATATCAAAACTGTTTCTTTCTCTCTTAATTTGAGGGAGGCAGAATTGCTTAAAAAAGAACGCTGTAACCTATTCATCGACATTCTAAAATCCAAGACGAAGGCGAAGAGGAATGACAAACGCAACGTTTTGAAGATGTTGCGTTTGTCCTTTTTTTCCTCCATCGTGGGTTTAGTAACAACCTGCTTGCCTGTTTAATGATGTTGACTTTAACGTTTTCATGATTAAAAAGTTTCATTGAACTACTAGATTCTGTTGCATATTCACCAAACGAATCGCAATATGTTCCTTACCCTACCACATTTCACTCGAAGTGCGACCGTCGCAGTAGCTGCATGTCCAAACTTCAGGCTTTCGGTGTCCCTGCCAAGAAACGCGCGGTCATGCCGCAGTACGAGTAAAAGACGTTTATTCAGACCTCTTTGCGGGGACGGAAGTAGGGGAATGAGCCGATGCCGTCGAGGCCTGGACTCGCGGTGTGGGATATGCCCTTGTAATGCAGCTTCGTGAATAATACGCAGAGGCGTGGGTGCAAACATCGTGCAGGGGGATATAAAATACCGGTAACATGATTGTGCACGTAGCCTCGGCTTCGCTCTCACATAAGGTGAAACGAACTGTAACATTTTTTTTATATACAGATTATTCTGCACGATAGTGTAAAAAGTCAATGATAGGCAACCGATGATCAAATAAGCGTATTGTGGTATAGTGTGGGTAAGTAGATACAAGGAAGATCCGAACTTCGACAAGCTATATGTTCCACCCGTGCAAATTTCTACCCACCGGCCCTCGACCGCGGAAAACGTTAGAAATCAATGGGCGCCAAATTTGGTACACAAAAATTCGGAGTGGTCAAACAACTAAAAGCCAAATTAGATTTAATGGCATATGACAGGGCAAAGTTTTGCGGCAACCCTGGGTCCTGTCAACTGTTGCTAGACCCTAATAGGCTTGACAAACGCCTAATTTATCGAGGGGAAAAAAAGAACACAACTCGGATTACACGTTTTCTCTCCAAAGAACGTTCAGTTGATATATATATAACCCTGCTGTTTTCTTTTCTACGCTGAAATCAAAATGTCTCTGCTTTCCACATTATTTTTTTTTCTGGCGCGTATTTACAACGATTCGATCGTAAATTTGTTTGAGCCGTGATTCCCGTTTATACTTTACACGGCATTTTGGTTACAAAACACCACGAGACAGAAAGCATGCCACTATTGTCGCTGAAAGCTCGACAGACGCACGGCGTGGTCAAAGTCCACAGCATCTCCTTATCACTCGACAAGCAAACAGATGGCGGCATTCAGCGATGAAAACACCTTAGAACCAATCACGCAGCAAGAAAGAGAATAGGCCACACCCTGTGATTCTCAAGTTGTCAGTGAACGTGCAATCTCGCTTAAAACAACTATACATGTTTTATTTTGAAATTTTTTCTAATTCTGACGTAGATGAGTTGACCAAAATAGTAAATAGCTTTATTTACCGACTGAAATGCGCTAGAATTCAAGAAGTACGAACCAGTTGTTCCACCTTTCTATTGGCTATATATTTTTATTGTAGTTGTGCTTAAGCTATTTACTTTAGTCTTTGGTGTCAAACCCAACTGCGTCATATTTCAGCCTGGCAAACGTCACACGAAAACGGTCTACAGTATACTTCGTTTCACCTTCAGTCCAGACGCTGCCGACTCTACGAGCTGATGGGACCGATCAGACCGTCAAAAGTGCACCATCATGCTGTTCATTGTGTTTATGCACGTGTTCTATCATCGCTGAACCAATCATAAACACGAAGGCTCACAGACTTCGCGTTTTTAACGCTGCTTGGTGTGTCCCATTAGCTCGTAGCGTCGGCTCCGTCTGGTTTTAAAGACCGACGACCAGTTCGCGCGTTCCACTTTTTTCTCGCTCCCTCCTTTCCCCCTTCTACCCTGTCCACCGTTGCCTGTTTCCTCCTCCCGCATCGTGAGGAGGACCTTCTGCCTTGCGGAATCCCGAGTCTGGTCGTCGGCCTTTAAGCATACACTAAGTAAAGGAGCCCAGAAGCCTAGCGCTGATGTATTTTCCAGAGTAATAAACGTATACGCTGCGGGCGGACAGGGGAAGCGGTAAATTGTAAAACCAACATCTAAGTTTAGTTTTTTTTTTTTTTCTTACTTGAAAGGGAGGAATTTGCGAAACTTGTTCAGTTCGCACGGGGCTGCAAACAGACTACGCGGAGAGCAAGTCATCTGCTTCTTGAGCGCCGAGTTGCGGTGAAGTCAGTACGACGCAGAGCTCTGATCGGCACTGATTGAAGAATGGTGGGTAGGCCACAAAGCAAGCAGCCTTGAAGTCTACCCATTATCCTCCAATCAGGACCAATCCTAGCTCGGCCTTCTGGCGTCACCACATCCCCTGGCAAAAGAAGCGGGCGAACTTGCGTTTCGCATAGCAAAGACAAAGCGGAATAAAATTTACGGTATAGCGCTGTAGATGCTGCTAATACACAACACAAAATGCAGTCCGTGAACACTCTCTGAGGCGTGATTCTTCTTCGCATATAACGGTCCCGTCAGATTGGTGAAGCTGTTTTTGAGATATCTTTAAGGAAGATAAGTATGTATCCTAGTAAACATGCTGCGTGTCCGCAGCGAGCGTCTTGCATTTTGTATGATGTGGAGTGGCGTGCCTACAGCTTTAGCGCTCACACAAGGTTAGGTTGGACTGCCTGTATGGCGGCAATTCTTCACGCTGCAGTTCATCGCCCTGCTCCTTCCCTCCTGTGCTCAGCAAAAAAAAAAAAAAACGAAAAAGTATATAGCATATTAGAGAGTGTTTTGAAATAGCCCCCTCTTTTCACGCAGACATCGTCTACATGATAGTTTTAAATCCATACTAGAGCACTAATCGACCAGGCTGAGGCCGTGAAATAGAGTGAGTTTTGGCTCGCTATGTTCCATGGTCTTGTTTTCAGAATATATATATATATATATATAGGGTGTATTTTTTTGTTTTTTTCAGCTGCACCAAATTTTCAAAAAAAGGAAACGTGACATAAAATAATTTAAGCCCTGGGGAAGTGTCAATCACCATGGCGGCCACTAAAACAAAGGTGAGATTAGGTAATTAGTTATCTAATTAACTAAAATGTTTTAACCAACTTGTTTTAAATTTTTCACTCGAGAGTACATAATGTATTTAGAGAATTGAAGCCCGACCTCAATATGGTCTAGCCCTGCCATCAAAGTTTGATAAAAAAATTTCTTGTAGGTGCTACGGAGTCAAGATATTTCACTTTGGTACACGGCGTCAAACCGAAGCTAAGTGAGAAAGAGCGCCGGTAAAGTTTTCGCTTCACCCTTTCGGGCATGCGATTTGTTATTATCGCGGCCGGCTCCACTTGTTTAGGCGAATCTGCCTGCGATAACGACGATCCATGGGGGCCAGAAGGGCGGAGTGATTACTTTACCGGCGCTCTTTCTCGTTTAGTTTCGGTTTGACGCCGTGTACCAAAGTGACATTTATTGACCTCGTAACCTCGTAACCTACTACAACATTTTTAACCAAACTTTGATTGCAGGGCTAGATGATATTGATGTCGAGCTTCAATTCTCTAAATACATTATGTGCCCTCAAGTAAAAAATTAAAAAGTTCGTTAAAAATTTTAGTTAATTATCTAACTAATTACCTAATCTCATTTTTGTTTTAGTGGCCGCCATGGCCATTAACACTTCCCCAGGGCTTAAATTAGTCTATCTCACGCTCCCTTTTTTTGAAAATTTGGTGCAGCTAAACAAAAACACCCCATATATATATATATATATATATATATAAAACTGAGAAGAAAAAACCCTTAGTGAAAACAGCAACAACGGACGATTTAATCTTCGACGTTTCGGCCGGAGTTATATACAATGAATGGCCAAATAAGGACTACAATGACATGACGGTAAAATGCAATCCTTCCTCCCGGAAGAGATTTGTTGCTACGAATTTTCTTCTTTGACGGAATCACCTCTACACACCGGCTGCAAAGACCACAAATAACAAAAAGGTACGAAGTCTAAAGTATGGGACGAGAGCTGCACGATCAGGCGTATCATACCTATCCCGAAATTTCACTGACGCTGGGAGACCCTGCATTTAAGGTTTATCCTATAGTAACTGATAGGTTAGGAACGGTAGGCCCTTTCCTTTAGAATGTATAGCCTCCAGTACGCGCTTGTTGCCTTCCGTCGTGCACTGGCTGCACACGCAAACTCGATGCTCACGACACGCCAAAGTATTATCGAAGCTAGTCACCGACTTGGTGAGAACTCCGGGGACGGCTTTTAGTTGTCCCACATGCAGAGCGAGCTTCGTACCTTTGATAACACCTTCGGCTTCTCGTGAGTCTCAAGTGTTCACGAGCAGGCAAAAGCACCACAGAAGGCAACGAGCTCCTGCAGGATGCCGGACTTTCGAAAGAAACACCCTACCATTCTCACCTTGTAAGTGACTATGCTTCATACGCACACAACTCAAACGAAGCATCTATTACCCTTCAGCGGATCAGCGCAAGAATGCGTACAATCCTGATCCTCACGCTTCTAGTCTCAAGCCTGGCACTGAGCAAGGGCAACGCCAGTCACAAGCGCGTCCGCTTGGTGCCGCCTGCCAACCTGTCCGTCACGTGCCCCAGCTCCACGTTCTCGAGCCCGAGTTTCACCTTCTGGTACTACCCCAATGGCACGTTCATCGAGACCAGAGACAGGGTGATGGTCAACGAGGAAACGGGCGCTCTGTTCATCCAGGACCTGACCAACGACGACTGCGGCTTGTACTATTGCACGTCCCTGGCGGACGGAGGCGGTCCCGGTAGATCTGCCGGACTCACATTCGTGGAAGTCTACACCGTCGAGTCTAAGCCTTACTTGGATAGGGCGTTTGCCGGCGGTGTGGCTGCCCTCTGCGTACTTACGACGGCGGTTTTCATAGCGCTGGTTGTTAGGTTTAGATATCGAAGCGAAGAGGAGAAGAAAAAAAACGTTCTTCCTGTGGTCTCGAGGACGAATGTGGGTTACGATCATACAGAAAGTTCTACGTCTTTTTAGTCCTTGTTTTCGGGAGGGCTCGGCCATGTTGAAATAAAAGATGGTTCTTGAAAACTAGCGTGTTTTTTTCACTTCCTTTTTTTTTGCGTTCCTCGGAAACGTTTCTTCTTTTTTTTTTCTTGTGACGCATAACAGCCACGGAAACGGTCTCATCCTTTACGCTTTTGCACCGAGATAACAAAATTATCTTTAATGCGCTTTCGATTGCAGCATCATAGCCTCCTATATACTGACAAAGTTTGGCAGATCGTCATGAGCAGCAGTCGCAGAAATGGAAAAGGTGGAGCGGCAGACAACGAATGAGAGAAGAGCCACATGACTGCCACCCCGCTGTGGCAAGACGCCGACACACACTTCTCCCGAGCGAACAAGTGTGTTTCGGGTCCTCGCCACTGTACAAGCTGTGCGCTGACGTCCAGGTTCGAAATTGCTCTTTGATGCTCAGTTCTGCCAGATCCTCGCGCTCTAAATCAGCAACCGGGCACTTTATGGCCCCGTCATTAATCAGCCAGGCTCTGTGAGTATAAAGGAGGCTATGGCAGTGGCAGTACCAAGCCACCTTATATTGGAGAAGAGATTCAGCCGTTGCGCTCCCTCTAGCAGTTTAACTGAGAGCTAAACCCAAGTGGCAAGAACAACATGAATTACCTTTCTGTATTACTGATGTAGGTTGGGTGACCATGGCCGAAGGCTGCGTGAGCGTTCGACGTGGGCTCGTGTTTAATCAGTGAAGCACCAATAGTCCGTTATCAAAAGTTCACCGGGCAACATTGGCGGTCGCCATTCCTTGGGCACGAAGGGTGTGACTGGATCGGCGTCCCGGCCGAACGCTGAAGTAGCACTCGGTCCCGGTATATGAGTTGAGCCTTAGTTCACGCTGAACGCTGACAGAAACCTCGTGTTCAGCTATTTCTCAGATTATACGCGCCAAAACAAATGCGCGCTCGGGTAATTGGCGCAGCCGCTAGATGGCGTGCGCGTTTTGTAAAGGGTCTATCGAACACAAGACCCCTTCCGAACGCTGAGTTAGCCAGGCATTCCAATATGTGCCACGCAATCCCTCGAAGTACTCGGTGTAAAGTACTGCAAAAGTAGACTAGTATGCGTTGTCGAACGACCATTCTCCCACATCTAGTACTAGAGGTTCGAACGAGATGCCAAAGTTTCATCATTGACCGTTATTCTTATTCAAAGGTTACTAGTGATTTTCTGCACTTTCATTAGGAAAATGGCTACCGACAGAGCTCTTGATTACATGGATCTTTACGGTACCAGTTACAGAAAACCGGCCAAAATGGACCCCGTTTTCGATTGACCATTTCAGGAAATCACGTATAACTTTTTGAATAAGATAACGGCTATTCCTAAAATCCGTGGCATCTGATTCGCATCTGTAGCGCGACATTTGGAGGGATAATAAACGTTCCGGGATGCATAGTTTATTTCTCCAACCAAAAAATAAAAACGCTGGACTTTTTTTTTTTTTTTTTTGAGCGGGGACATTTTGTAGATTTCGTAAAGAATCCAGTCCCATTTCTCGTGTTGGGTAAGCACTGAGTTCTGTAGAAAACAAGCTGGACAATGCGACCCCTATAGTTCGATGTCTTTGCAAATTATACATGAGAACTCCAGTGAAGGGCCCTGTTCTCAAGAGGCGTAAACAGGAACGGCCTCACTTATACGCTCAGTACGATCGCCCCATTTTAAAGCGAAACTATTATATGTGCCATTAGGAGAAAATGCGGCGTCGTTGTCCCCGAAAGATGGCAATAAAAATACGTCACCACTCAAGCGCCGCTCGAGGTCAAGGCGGACGCACCTCGGAAATAAAACACAAAGAAAAGCACAGCAACGCAGATGCTTCGTCACAGAAGCCGTGAAACCGGCGGGAGTGCCGCAAATGCGCAGTGGGGGAGCCTGGTGTCACCGCCGGAGTGCCGTGTGCAAAAGGTGCGCTTTGGACTTCATCTGTGCTTGTGGTGTGCTTCGTGCGAGTGTCTGTGAGGCGACCGCGCGGGACTACAGGGAGTATTCACTGGCGGCCATAGCTGTGTGCGCGACTGCTGAGTGTGGTGTCATCCTGATAACGCGCCGACGGGCCGATTCCTCGCGAACTGTTATCACTGGTCACATGACCCGAATCATCTGTATATATTCACTGGTGTCTGAATAAACGAGAGGGTTCTTTGCTCACCCACGACGGCTTGTCTGACATGGTGTCAGAAGTGGGTGGATTCCGACCGGTTCCGACGGAATGCCGCTAACGACGAGTACGAGCCCCTAAGCAACGACCGAAGCAGCGTTGACCTCGCCACCACAGCAGCAGCCGGCGCCACGCCGACATGGCAGGACTCAAGCCTCCGAAGCCGTTCGACTTCCACAACGGCGCTGACTGGCCTGCTTGGATAGACAAGTTCGGCGACTACAGATTCGCATCGGGCCTGCACGAGAAACCTGAGGAAGTTCAAGTAGAAACTCTTCTTTATACGATGGGCCGGAAGTCGCGAGAAATTCTGCGTTCAGTAGGCGTAAAAGACGAAGAATTCAAGAAGTTTGACCTGATAAAGTCAAGGTTAGACGCATACTTCGTTCACACCAAGAACACGGTGTACGAGAGTGCCCGTTTCAACCAACGCCGACAGCAAATGGGAGAAACGGTAGACCAATTTGCGACCGAGCTACACAGGCTAGCAGAGCGTTGCGAGTTCAAGGACATGAAAGAACCACATATCCGAGATCGATTCGTAGTCGGTCTTTTGGACCAAACTCTCTCAGAGGAGCTTCAAATGGATCCAAAGCTGACGTTACACGTAGCTCTATCGAAAGCTCGGACAAGCGAAACAGTAAAGAAACAACAAGCCGAACTAGCAAGGCAAGAGTCCGCAAGCCCCGAAGCATGCGTTTCGGCCGTGAAACAGAAAAAGACCGCTAGACAGAACGAAGCCTCAACCAGTCAAAGGACTGCAAACAGCAAGAGGTGCAGTTACTGCGCTGGTCCTCTGCATCCCAGGACAAGTTGTCCCGCCCAATGAGAAAAATACCGTTTTTGTCAAAAGTTAGGACATTTCGAAAAAGCATGCCGCATCAAAAAACGCGACGCCAAGAAACTCGACGTCCTTGCCGCACCCGATAGCGATCCTTTCTTGGGCACGCTCGAACAGTCGAAGAACACGTTGTCTGCGCTCTTCGTGACTGTGCAGATAAATGGTCAGGAACTTCGAATGAGAGTTGATACGGGAGCGGAAGTGACTGTAGTCAGCGATAAGTTTCCAGGCTCTCTAGACGAAGCAGAAAATCTTCGAGGGCCGAGCGATGCAAGAATTTGCACTGTTGGCAAGTTCCACGCGAACGTCACCTAGAAAGGTAACTGCTCACGACAGACTATCTACGTCGTCCGCAATCTGCGAACTCCCCTTCTTGGGTTCCCAGCGGTCAATGTCTTAGGCATCGTTAGATTCTTGGACGAAATAGAGAGCGTCAAAGACGTTGAAGCGAAGTATCCCAAACTGTTCAAAGCTACGGGATCCCTGGCCGGTGAACACACGATACGCTTAGTACCGGATGCCGTCCCGTACATGGTGTCTACTCCTCGTCGGATTCCCATACCGATGAAAGAAGCAGTAAAGAAAGAGCTAGACAAGCTAGAGCTCGAAGGAATGATTCGAAAGGTTGAAGAACCAACAGAGTGGTGCGCCCCAATCGTGCCAGTGCAGAAGCCTTCAGGTGACGTCAGAATCTGTGTCGACCTGACCCATCTAAACAAGTTTGTACGGCGGGAACGTCACCAGCTTCCAACGGTAGAAGAAATCATGGGCAGCTTCCAAGAAGCCCGTGTCTTTTCCAAACTGGATGCGAGTTCTGGATTCTACCACATTCACCTTTCGAAATCATGTCAAGAGCTTACCACTTTCATAACGCCGTATGGAAGGTAGTGCTACCGGAGACTACCTTTCGGCCTGACTTCGGCACCAGAAATTTTCCAAAGAAAATTCACGCAAGTTTTGGAAGGCTTGGAAGGCGTCCTGAACTACATGTATGATGTATTGGTGTACGGAGCGAACAAGACCGAACACGACAGTCGCCTGCACAAGGTACTGGAGAGGCTACAGCAGAAGGGCGTTACGCTAAACAAAGAAAAATGCTGCTTCTCTGTCTGGAGAGTGTCGTTCCTGGGAATGGTCTTCGACGCCAGTGGAGTGAGACCTGATCCAGAGAAAGTTCGGGCCATCAAAGAGCTCCCCCGGCCTCAAAATGCCGTCGAAGTTCGTTCTCTTCTGGGCATGGTTAACCATCTTGCTAGATTCCTCCCAGATGTAGCATCTAGCACAGCGCCTCTTCGCAGCCTTCTATGCAAGGATAACAACTGGTCATGGGGTCCTCAGCAAGAACAAGCATTCGCCAAAATCAAAGACACCTTAAGCTCGGAAAGGTGCCTCGCGCGGTACAATCCAAGCTACCCGACTATTGTCTCTGCAGACGCCTCGTCGCACGGCCTCTTGCCTGCTCCAGGATCAGCCATCCGGGGAGCGACGTCCTGTTGCATACGCTCCAGGTCGCTGACGAAGACGGAACAGAGGTACTCTTAGATAGAGAAGGAAGCCCCTGCTCTAACATGGGCTGCAGAACGCTTTGACGAGTTTCTGCGAGGTCTCACGTTTTTGTTCGAGACTGATCATAAACCCCTACTTCCGTTGCTGGGTCGCGACCCACTGGACTCCCTACCCCCAAGGATTCAAAGATTCGAATGCGCCTGATGAGGTACTCCTTCACTCTCACGCACGTTCCCGGAAAAACCATTGCCACGGCAGACACACTGTCACGAGCAAGAAGCAACTGTTTGGCATCGTCACAGGGAATGCTCTTGGAGGGGGACGTCTCGGCACACGTTGACGCAATCATCCGGGGGCTACCAGCATCCGACAGTCTGATAGACCGAATACGCATGGAGCAGAAGAATGACCAGGAATGCTCATTGCTGCTTCAAGCCTGCCGACAAGGGTGGCCAGACAAGCACAAGCTACCACCAATTCTCGGGAA